GCACGTGGATCTTTGTCGCAGCACAATGAGTAAAACATCTCGAGCCAGGAATCGTCAACAGGGTGCTCGACAAACGTCACACGCAAGAGCCGGGACAGTCAGGAGTGAACTGCTGCGATAACGACCAAGATCCACCGGAGAATGATCACAGGCAATCACAAGAGTTGTCTCAGGCCAAGCTACAGAAATGCATTTTGGGAGGGCGCCGGTCGAGTCGTGCACAACCCACAACCGACGTTGGGTGATGCGTGAAACCGTCAGGAGAAACCCACGACGCGGCGCGACGCCGACTGAGCTTTGTCGACGTGCAAGCATCCTGATCACGAACCGGTGTTCCAGAAGACTTACGTGTGCGCGTTGCCTCAGAATATTTCGTTGGGACATGTCCAGTGATTTCTCCATTGCATCACTAGATTGAGGCCTCCACTGTCTCAGGTCAACGACTACTTCGCACGGGGGCCTGAAAGTCCTGAGGCCGGCCTTGCGTGCGCCCGGAGAGCCACACTCGCGCCTCGAGGAGGGACAGCATTTGGCTTCTGCGCACGATTTGGGCGGTGAAGGGAGACATCTCTCCAGGGCGTATGAAGCCATCCTTATGGGGAGATCTCCCGCCCTTTTCGGGCTCAACCGCCCTCTCTCGCCCACCCAGTCACAGTGCTCACCGCCACGCTCCAGCCTGTGCAGACGTGTAGATTCGCCTTAGACATTTCAACTCAGCCCAAACAGCCTGAACACAATCTAGAGCTCTGAGAGTCTTAGAGCAGGTCGTCGACACCAAAGCCAGTCTACTGTCATGTCAGGCGTGCGTCTTCGCGACAATCAATTACATGGCCTCGGACTGCTTGAGCCTGGATTTCATCGCTCACGTCAGCGCGGGTAAGTGTGGCTGCCTGAGCGTCGATCGCTTGTCGCAGGAAGCGCTGCAAGCGTGCCTTCGTTAGACTTGAGCACGGAGACGCGAGCCGCAGGCACTGGGGGACGTTGTGTTTTTTTGCTTGTTGGAAGTGCTGCGTTGTTTTATCCCAATAGAGCTGCGCAAGTCAGAACGCGCTGGGGCACTTCATGGCACTTTTGTTGCGCTCTTCCAAGAAAAGAGGCAGCGAATCATAGCGTGACCCTTCCCCAGCAGAGCTTCGCAACCGCAGCGTCAACAATTCAGCGTCGATTTCTGACTTATGGTTGTCTTCAAGAGAAGCTGAGTGCGCGCTTGAGAAGCAGCCCCACGAGTATGGCCCACAGTTTTGCGGCGTGGTTTGACTGTCATTTCTAGATGCTTTCTGGGGTCCCAAGGTCCAAGCCGCCGCACATTCTTTTCGGACGAGCGAGCTGCGCTAGACAAAAGGGTCCTGAGTCCTGATCTTCTCGTGATTGAGTTTTCCGCGCTGCCGGTCCGATCAGATCTTTGCTCACGCACTGAAGGGCATGAAGCACGATGTGAGTTTAGGCTTTGTTGGTGTGAGCTGTTTGGCGCGTGCTATGTGGTCAAAGCTGCAAGAGCAGCCCAGTCTCCCTGCGACCAACTCGCGCCAACGACCAAAGAGCTCGCAGCACTCTGTGGCCCTTAAAGGGGGGACCACGAGGGGCATCTTTGTCCGGATCTAGGCTTCAAGTTGATCCATCTTGGCCGGGATCTAGGTTTCAAGTTGGGCGCACGAGGGGCATCTTGGCCAGATCTAGGTTTCATGAAGTGCAACTCGTCGGCCAAGCCCCAATGAGGAAGGAAGCATTCGCTACGTGGCTCAAGGCTGCATGAAAGTAGGTTGTGACGTGCCGTCTAGCTCCCAGCGTTGACAGTCCTTTCCGCACAGATCCGGTCGGCGTCCACTTGCGCCGAAACCCTAAACCCGAAACCCTCAACCCTAAACCCTCAACCCGAACACCTAAACCTGTGGGGGTCCTGCTCTAGCTGGTGAACGGAGTGGTCCTTCTGTAGGATTTGGGGTTTCGGGAACACAAAAGAGTATTTGGGTTTAGGGTTTAGGGTTTTCGGGTTTAGGGTTTAGGATGTAGGGTTAAACTGCTATCCAGGGCTACAATCAGCTCACCTTTGCCACTCTAAACCCAACATCAGGCCGCCCCTCCATGTGCCAGAGAACCATTGCCAAGGCGGCAGAACGTATAACCCTAAACCCTATTTATTCTCCAACACCCTGAACCATACACTCTAACCCTGAACCCTGAACCCTGAACCCTAAACCCTAAACCCTAAACCCTGAACCCTTTTAGGGGTGCAGGCCATGAAGGCATGTGAGTTTGGGGTTTAAGGTTTAGGGTTTAGGGTTTAGGGTTTAGGGTTTAGGGTTTAGGGTTTAGGGTTTAGGGTTTAGGGTTTAGGGCTTAGGGCGTAGGGCTTAGGGCTTAGGGCTTAGGGCTTCGGAGCCGCCCGACATCCTGAAGCACCTAAGCAAAGCGCCAGGCTTAGGGCTTAGGGCTTAGGGCTTAGGGTTTAGGGTTTAGGGTTTGGGGTTTAGGGTTTAGGGTTTAGGGCTTAGGGCTTAGGGCTTAGGGCTTAGGGCTTAGGGCTTAGGGCTTAGGGCTTAGGGCTTAGGGTTTAGGATGTCGGGTTTAGGATTTAGGGTTTAGGATTGAGGCTCAACACCCCTAGCATGGCTTTTTGGCCGATACCGCAGGCGGTCGGCATGCAGACGGAGGGATGTCTCAAGCAAGCTTCAAGCAAGCGGATATTTAAGGCTCAAGGCTGGCTGTTAAGCTTGGGGCATGTTCGCTAAAGGCATGCTGCATGCGCGCTTGTGACTGCGCGTCGTGTCCCCGAAACACCAGACATCCTTGAGCGGAATGTTGTAGAAAGTGGCCAGCGCTGAAAATTCCAGTGTTTAGGGCATTCCCCCCACCCCCCACCCCCACACCCCAACCCCCCAACCCCCCAACCCCCCAACCCCGCCCACACCACCACCCTCCAAACCCTGAAACACCTGAAAAAACCTTGCGGTCATGGCCAACACCGTTAGCTTAAACCTAAACCCTAAAACCCTCAACCCTCAACCCTAAATCCTCAACTCCTCAACTCCTCAACTCCTCAACTCCTCAACTCCTCAACCCTAAACCCTAAACCCTAAACCCTAAACCCTAAACCCTACTTGCTTGAAACGAGCATGGACCCCAGCAGCGACTGGATTTAGCGCTGAAGAAGTCTCAGAAGAAGTCTCCGGCCAAGGATGTGCGGCGTTTGTGTGGCCTTTGTTTTTGTTAGTGTGGGCGGTTTAGGGTTTAGGGTTAAGAGTTTCGGGTTCTAGTGTTTAGGGTTTAGGGTTTAGGGTTGAGGGCTTAGGGTTTAGGGTTTAGGGTTGAGGGTTGAGGGTTGAGGGTTTAGGGTTCGGGTTTAGGGTTTAGGGTTTAGGGTTTAGGGTTTAGGGTTTAGGGTTTAGGGTTTAGGGTTTAGGGTTTAGGGTTTAGGGTTTAGGGTTTAGGGTTTAGGGTTTAGGGTTTAGGGTTTAGGGCTTAGGGTTTAGGGTTTAGGGTTTAGGGTTCAGGGTTAAGGATTTAGGGTTTAGGGTTTAGGGTTTAGGGTTTAGGGTTTAGGGTTTAGGGTTTAGGGTTTAGGGTTTAGGGTTTAGGGTTTAGGGTTTAGGGGATTGGGGTTTAGGGTTTAGGGTTTAGGGTTTAGGGAAACCCTAAACACCCTAAATACCCGACGTGGGTGTGTAGGCCGAGTCGTGCCTTGCGCCGGAGTGGTGCCATACGTCTGTCTACGCCAGGATCTGAGCCGAACATCTGAGACGGGAGCTCAATCTGCCCCACTGCAGGGCATGCCCTAGAATCTCACGCTCGGTTCAGGGCGTTTAGGGCTCGGACTTTGCGGGTTTTGAAATTAGCGAGATTTGGTTAACTAGGGTATTTAGGGTCATTAGGGTGATTAGGGTCATTGGAGGAATTAGAGTAATTAGGGCAATGAGGCTAGCGGGCTCACGCTAGCTCCCGTTTCAGCTGAGGTAGCACCTGTCGAGACCGTCCGCAGGGCTGCATCATTGTCGCCTAGTCCGATCCCCGATGACCCGAAATGACCCGAAATAACCCTTATACCCCTAGGCCAGCCACGTGGGGTTGTGGGGTTATTGTAGGTTTACTATGGGGTCATTTTGGGGACAGTATTGGGACTATGGTACTACAGGCCTTAAACCTCTAGGCCAGCCTTATAGTGCTTGGCTTATGGGTGGTCTAAGGTCTTTTGTGTTTAGCACAAAGAGGTCAAGTCAATTTCATGGGGTGCGAACTTAGCTTGTACAATGATTTCGGGTTTGGGCCTGGGATAGATGCCGACCTCCTCGTGGACGAGCCTGGATAGCATATGGACTTCGTGTCCGTTCGCAGCCGCGAGCTGCTCAAGAAGGGCCCTTCTTAGTATCGTAGCAGCCAGATTTGTACAGTTTTCGCCCCCGTGGATAGTGTCCCTGTACGTTGTGGATCTGATTAGCCAACTCGCAGCCGGAGGCCAGAGGAGCTAAAAGGATCGAGCGTTGACGAGGGATAGATCCTTCCCTAACCTTTGGGATAGTTGTCTGTCCTCTTTACAACTCATAGCCGGAGGCCGGAGGATACTGAGGGCAGGTGGCTGTTCAGGTGAATATCGGGATAGGTGTACAACACGCAGCCGGACGGCTAGTGGATACATCTAGAGCGATAGGTTACCACCCCCTGGAGATAGCAACTCTGGGGATCCTTCCGATAGTTAACGTCGGGAGTGGCTCGGAACGATTGGCTAGCTACCTTGAGTTCCCCGTTGACAGGGATACTGTTACTTCTGGTGCAACATTACAACCTACAACTGTAAATATACAACTTCTTTCTCCTCGTGTGGCCTGAGCTAGTTACTGGAACGGGTTGCGCAAGTTTTCATTGGTTTGGACACTTCGCACAGGTTAAGAGCCTTGTTGCTTGGCCTGGACGAGCTGTTCGAGAAGTTTTTTCTTGGTATAGCGAAGAGGTACCACTTGCATAGCGAAGTTTTCCGCATTTGTCATTTGTGTTCATTGACTGCAGCAATGTCCACACGTGATAGCATTGGGAGCAGTGAGTCTAGCGATAGTGATGTGTTAGGAACAGGGAATAGATTCCTCGAGGACCAGGTCAATGCGGTCAATCAGAATGTGGCCGCCGCTGATAGTCACGTGCGAAGTATAGCCGACGTCGAGAACATGGACTTCATCGACGACGGACGGAATAGTGGAAGGACAGGAATGGAGACGGATAGCAATGCTGATAGAGATCGTTTCGGCCTCAGCTTGTCAGGACCGCTTACTGTAGACGTTAGGTCGAGCGCTGCGGATAGTATGTTAGTGCCAGGGCCACCGCCAGGACTGCCGGATAGAAGCTTGGAGATCGCGGCGACGCTGGATAGTGTGGGGAGGTCGGGAGGGCTGGGCTATGCCGGGATAGCGGACGCGTCAAGCACTCAGGGGAGGGACCCAGGCGAAGAATTGCGGGAGTTGCTCGCAGTCCCGTCAATCGCAGGTAGAGGGGATGCCGTGATGCAGCTTAGCATGCTTGCAAGCAGTCCTGTAGTATTCGATCCAATCATGGGAGCTACGGATTTGAATGAGTACAGGGCCGGAAGAGGCGGGATAGAAGCAGGAAACGCCAGGACCCCGACGCTTGCCATCGAGGATCTGGCTGGAATAGGTGGAAGAACGGAAGAAGGACCGTTCGTCATCCCCTCCGAGAATATGTCCCACGGAGCGGAGTATGAGTTGACGGGAGGTGCCAAGGGAATCAGTGGCTCCAGGAGAGAGATGGCGATCGAGGATAGAGTGGATAGCCTTGCGGTGTCATCATCGTCAGATCACGATAGGACGACCAGGAGAAATGATGATGGAATAGATGTGATGATGAACAGTGGCGAGCTCGGTGTTGGGGGTGATCGCACGAGAGGTGTGGATAGCGGACATTGGATGGGCAGAGGGAATGGGGATGATCTCGTCCCCGGAGTATATTCGAGTAGTGCGGCCATGATTGGGAACGTCCGTGCCGATCCTACAGATCTGGAGTTGATAGCTAACGGATCTTCAGCGGTAACGCAGAACGCGGTCAGTGAGAGTGAGGATAGAGCGCTGTCTGTGTTCTCATCTACAGGCCTCTCGGAGACATCGTCAGGCGGGAACATTGGAGCATTGAAAGATGTGGGGATGGACCAGACTACGACGATCGGAATAGAGTGGGGATCACATGGGATCAGGAGTACTCTCGAGGAAACGGGGGTCATCACTGACGTGGACTTTGCGAAGTTCTTCACAGATCAGGGACCAGGAGAGCCTGGATCAACGCCCATGACGATGCAATCGGATTCGCAGGAACGGTGGAACGCTGGGATATATGGTGCCGAGATCGCAGGATTAGAGAAAGACAGGTCACGAAAGATGTCGATGGGGTCGGATAGTGGACACTCAGGTGGTCGATCTACATCATTGAAGAGGGATAGCCCGGGTGGATCGGAAAATGGAGTTGGTACCACCAGCAAGATAGGCAAGATGGATGAGGGACTGCGTAAGCAACGAGCGGAGCAGGCCGTTAAGGAGATGAACCAGATAGCCGAGAGCGTCCCCGCAGCCAAGAAGTCGAAATCGACAGAAATTGGGGGACCGATCCATCAGGCAGGAATGATCACCCCGATCAGGGTAGCGAGGGATGGGGCAATCGATCCCCGGCTCCACGATCCCCTGGGATAGGTGGGCAATACGAGCACTTCGGGATCAATACTCCTCCTGAAGGACGAGGCAGGAACGATGAGATGAGGGCAACATCATCCCCACCTAGGCGGGCAAAGGTGAGAACTCCTGCCGATCCGGACAAGTCTTCGTTAGGAGAGATAGACGGCAGGATAGATGATTTACAGACGGTGGTTGTGGACACGCAGACCGACGTAGCCAAGCTTAAAGTGGCAAGTGAATGTGCAAGTGCAATTGCTAATAGTTCAGCGGAAAAGGCGGACGTCGTGAGCAAGAGATTGGTGGAATGCGAGGAGGAGGTGAAGCACTGGAAAGGTTGGATAGAATCGCAGCAGATAGATACCAAGACAACACTGTCGCAGGAGCTGAAAGAGATGAGTCGGATCATGGACGGGAGCGTCAGCGAGGATAGGATGGATGATGCAATGGCTCCGCAACTGACCGAGGGAGCAATGCAGCTCGCACGGAGAATGAGACGGCAGGTTGAAAACGTGAAGGTGCTCAAGACCTCTGTTACGACTAGATTGAAGGGAGTGGAGGAGCGATTGTCCACAGCGGAGCATTCAGCGGACATAGCCAAACAGAGTGCCGGGACGAAGATCGCCACGTTAGAGACAGGATTGAATGAGGTAAGACGTGGCATAGGAGTGGTCTTCTCGAGCATGCAAATGCGACATGAGAATGGAACATGGAAGAATGAGAGGCTCGATAAAGTGGAGACAGTTTTGAATAGACAATGGGACCAGATCAAGTTAGCGGGCGAGGAACTAAGGAAGTTGAAGTCCAAGGGGAGCCAGAAGGCCGGAATAGACACAGCGTCGTCGTCCCATTGTAATAGTCAAGGAAAAAGTCCTGGATGCGGGTGCAGAGAGCCTGGCGAGGGTCACGGCTTGTGCATAGATGGAGCAGTGCGTGTAGAGACCAAGAAGCTGAGTGAAGTGGTTTTGGCACAGAAGGAACACATAATGACCGTCGCGAGAGAGGTGATAAAGAACCGCAAGAGCGTGGCCGAGATTGTGGCGGGCATGACAAAGGTTCACAAGACTTGCGAGAATGTCGTGGCAAGGACCGAGCGGGTTGATGAAAAGAGAAACGGAGAACAGGCCTGGGTGAAAGATACTGTGCGAAAGATGGAAAAGACTATGGAGTCAATGTCGAGCCGTATGATAGATGAGCAGAAGAGGGTCACGGGCGAATTTATCCTTGTCAATGCTCGAATTGATGAGAGCACACGGAACGAAGGGATAGGCAAAACGCGAGGAAACAGCGCGGAGATAGGAAAGCCACCGACGATGTCACGCGGGCGAGATGGTCCCGGCGGAAGTGGGGGAGCCGATGGAAGAGCCAGGAGCGACAACGCCCGAGGAATGGAGGCTTCGAGGCCGGAGATGACGGGTCCCGTAGTTGATCGGAGGATCGAGAACAGATGCATTGTGTTAGAACAACAGGTAGCCAAGATCACTGGTCAATTGCAGGGATTAACCACGGTGAATGAGCGGATCGTGAAGGAGAACGCTAGCCTGATCAGCGAAATAGAAAGCATGAAGGGGGAGAACAAGGGGGTGACAGAGTCGGTAGCGCGGATGGTTCGGGACAGCAGAGATGAGATATCTAAAATGAGAGCGGATCTTGATCTCCGAGGTAGAGAGATGCTAGAACTCAAGGAGAAGAACGAGCAGTTGGAGGCAACGGTACGGGAGTATGAACGGAGACTGGAGCAGGTGAGACGAAACGATAGCCTTAAAGCAGAACTGGATAGCATGTGGCATAGAATCGGTGAGATCGGCAAGCAAAGCTCCGAGTACGCCATGCCAGCGCCGGGTGTGGGAGGTGCTTCGAACGCCGGCTCCGCAAGACCAAGTGCCGGTGCCACGCCTGCGCCGAGTTCCGTTGGGGATAGAAGGGAGCATGGAAGAAAGGATAGACAAGGAGATGGAGGTCTGTTGGGGGAAGAGACTAGGATTAGAAGGTGCCCCGTTTGTGTTAGACAAGCGGAAATGATGATTGCGTGCCAAGGCTGCGGAAGAGAAGTGTGTGGTAATTGCTATGAATACCATGATGACTTGTGCATGCTGTGCTCCACTGATAGAAGGGGGTGCGACGCCGGAGGATATGCGGGGACAGGACTTCCGAGGCCGCAGAGTGGACGCGATCATGAGGGGGATGATGCCAGGTTCAGAAATCCGGTAGGCGGAGGGTATAACAAGTTCAAGGACACAAGAGGGATGGAGAAATGCAACGAGATATCGATAGCGAAGGAGCCATCATCCGGGGAAGTAGGACTGTGGCTGGGCGATGTTGCACACACTGCGAAGGCTGCGTATCTGTATGACGGGGACTATGCATACACGCAGGTATTGAGGGTACGCGAAAGGAGCGAAGCGATGATAGACATGGAACTCAAGTATCCTGCGTTAGAGAACCAGCTTTTTAGCGGATTGAAGAGAGCAATAAAGTCAGAGTCCTTGTCGGCGAAGGTGAAGATGGAGATGTACAAGACTCAGCAAGTGGGAGATGGAAAACCGATGACGGCCATGAGATTGCTTACGCTGATAGTAAAGCATGTTGAGATCCCGATTGCTAAAGAGAGTCAGGTACTGTACGATGGCCTGAGTAGCACGAAGGTGATGAATTTCCCGGGGAAGCCCGAAGAAGAGGCACTGGAGGAGTTCATGACTAGATGGGATCTGGCACACACGAACCTTATAGGGCTGAAAGGCAATACCTGGAGCGAGCAACAGCTGGGATGGATGTTGCATTCGAAAGTGCAGAGAGTTCAGGTGCTGAACCACGATATTGAGGCATGGAGATTGCTTCCGGATGAGTCCAAGACGCATACCTGGTTGCGAAAGAGAATCAAGGATAGACTGGAGATGTGGAGAGCGGACAAGAACATAGATGAGGCCTCAATGCGGGTGAGCCGACAGGCGTTCACGACTGGATATGCTGCGATGCCGGCTCAGCAGGGATCCTATAGAGCACCGGTGAATAGAAGAAGCGCGTACGCTGATGATAGACCGAGGAGTTCATCGCCCGCAGGGGGAAATAGCTACGGAAGAGGGATATCTGTGGGAAGAGGCAGGGACGGACTTTCGCAGGCGGGGAGAGCCGATGACCCGAAGAATAGATATGGATCCAAGTCGCTGTTTGGAAAAAGAGGGGTCTGCTACCCCTATACGCGTGGAACTTGCCCAATGACTGCGGCGGACTGCAAACATTCGCACGACATTTATCTGTATAGTCAGGCGGAAGAGGTCCTCAAGAAGGCGGGATACTGCTTTGAGCATTTTCGGTACGGCAGCTGCAGAAATGACAAGTGTAAAATGCTCCACGAGGCTATCCCGAATAGCATTAGGGAGGCTTTTGAGACAGTAGAGATAGAGCAGAAGGAGACAAGGCCATCGAGTCCACATGCTGATGGTGAAGGGCCAAGTTTTCGCTAGGGGCGGGCCGAAACCCACAGGCCAGCGAGGATAGTCAGGTGTATGCGGCCATGCCTGTGGTACGACAAAGAGACGATGGCGCCGAAAGCACGCATAGGGGAATACTAGTGACAACGACAGGCAGGGAGCGAGTGAAGAAGGGTAATAGGCGAGTCAAGGGGTTGGGCTCCGAAGAGACGGGGATAGCAGGACTGGATATATGCTATTGGAAAGGACACACAGCCGACAAGATGGTACGAAAGTGCAAAAACGTACACAAGAAGGGGTATGTACATGATGTGAAACGATATCCCGTGATTGAGGAGGCAAAGGCAAGGCTACGAGGAATATCCCTAGCCGAAGAGGTCGTGCTGGACATACTTGCCGGAGAGCAAGGCGAGGAAGGTAAGGATGCTTCAAGACTGGCTGATAGGATAGTGGAGGAATGCAGGAGAATAGGTATAGTCGACGAGAGATTCCGCGTGGATAGTCGAGAGGATAGTCAACCGGCGGCGTCTGCACAGCATTGTTTGCCATCGGTAATGAGACGATGGATGATAGACTCGGGGTGCGCTATGGATCTGATAGCAGAAGCAGACCTCACCCAGGATGAAAAAGATATGGCTATTGAGGCGAAGAAAGTGCGGTTCAACACCGCCAACGGCAACACCACGTCAAAGCAAGAAATATGCATGGATATTCAAGGGATGCCTGAGACGATGAGGATTAGAATGCTCGAGAGTACTCCCGCTGTTCTATCGATGGGGAGGAGATGTATGAAAATGGGATATTCGTTCCATTGGCTGGCGGGCGCGAACCCCGTGTTCGTCAAGCCTGATTCGAGCTTGATAGTACTAAAAGTCATCGGGGATATCCCATACATGGTGGATAGAATGTCAACGGTCGTTAGTGAAAGTGAGCGGAGTGACTATCACATCTATCCTGCTATGCCAGCGCCTCTTGCGATTGAATTGCCCGTGCGAGGAAATTCCAGTCCGAGGAGGATCGGAGAGAAACAGGATGAATGTAGTCCCAAAAGCGTGGACTCGGACACGGATAGAGACATCGAGGAGGAACCGATAGGAAAGGCCGCCAACGACGACGGGAGGCTACTAGACAAGTGGATGTTAACGGGTAATAAGGCGGTGTGTTTCCACAACAAACCAAGAACGAAGGCTTGCGATCCATGGTTTGAAACACTGAGATTCCCAGAGATACATGCACTTGTGCCGCGATTCGCCGAGAGATGTAGATCCAAACGTGTGTACAAAGATGGCAAAACCGTGGCGGAATGGATAGACTGGGTGGATAAGTACAGTGAGGGAGAGAATAGAGAAGCGGAGGAGGAATTGTGGACCGGCAAAACCATGTTCAAGATAGAAGGACTAACCTATGAAGGAGCGGACGCCGGGGAAGCGGCACAGAGCGATAGCGTGAAGGTGAGAAAACACATTTTGAATAGAATGGCTGCGGACGAAACCACGGGGCTAGACGACTTACTAATGATGTTAGACAAGAACATTGGTACTGGTGGCGAGGCAGAAACGCTTGTCGAGATAGCCAGATGTTTGTGGCCGCTTGCTCCACAAGAGATACTTGACGGCGGAAAGGCGCAAAAACCCCAGGGAGAAACGAGACCTGAAATCATGAAGATAAGGAAAGCGATGGAAGGGAGCAGAAGGGTTATTGTGCACATTTATTGTGGAAAGTCAAGGGGAAAGTTTGACGACGTCGCAAGTGAACTAGAAATGGGTGTGATAGACATCGACATGGAGGAGAACGTGCTGCAATCTGATACATGGTGGTGGCTAGTGAAGCTGGCTACGACTAATTTGGTGTTTTGTTGGCTAGCTGGACCGCCTTGCAGAACAAGATCCGTGATGAGACACAGAAGGCCGGGTCCGATCCCACTTAGATCGAGAAATGGACCAGAGCGGTGGGGATACTCATTTATCAGTTGGGCACAGAAGCAGGAGTGTCGTGACGACGACATCATCATACTGCGCGTGTGCATGCTTGTGGTGATAGGAAAGGCACGTCACCGACGACTGAGAGCCCCAACAATGTGCCTCATTGAGCAACCCCAGGACCCCGAAACATATTGGGATGAGACGCCAGATGGAGGATACGCGTCATTGTGGGCGACTGAAGAATGGGATAGGACGAGTGCCATTCTAGGGACTAAGTTATTTAGTTTCGATCAGGGACCGATGGGACACCCTAGGAGAAAGCCGACCACAATAGCGACTGACGCAGAGTTGATAGGATGGGCGGTCAATCTTAGAGGACCAGGGACCGGAGCGACGAACGATGGCGATGATAGAAGCAAGGGCGAGATGAGCGAGTCACAAAACTGGTCGGAGTGGGCACCGGGATTAGTGCGAGCCATCAAGGAGACTATGCGTAAGCACCACCGAATTTCATCAGTGGTCGAAAAGGGGATAGACGAGAGGAATAGGGAGACAACGACAGAACAAGACGATGGTGACGGTCGACTGAGAACGACGTTCTACTGCGCCGCGTGTAAGGCCGATTCATCCGGGGTATGCGGTTTTTGTGAAAGAGCTTTGAGTCCTGAGCAGATTGAGGCGGGGCAAAGCGCACGCAATATGACGGATGCGGAGTTTCAGCTCATCCACGGAATGAAGAAGAGTCCGGATGACGACCTAAGGATCGCGGAGCAAGTCGTCGCTGTACCCGGCGAGGAAGAAAGCGCCGAAAACGGAGGCGAATTGGATGATGATATAGATTTGCCAGGAATAGCCGATGAAGAACAGGCTAGAAGAGGAGTGGGAGAGCCTCAGAAGGATGATAGCGCCGGTGACATGGGAGAAGTGGAACAAGCAAAGGCAGAAGACGGACCTGCGGATCAGGTTCGAGTTGCGGATAGAATTGGCGAAGGGATAGGGTCGAGCAAAACTGTGAGCATCCGGAGAGCAAGATACTCACCGGAGTATGCAAGATCGACGGAACATTTGCTCACGCATCTCCCAAAGAACATGCACTGCGTTGCTTGTCGACAAGGCAAAGCAATAAACGTCCCCTTCAACAGGGGCGAAGGCATCACAGACAAGGGCGCCGAGAAGTTCGGGGAGAGGGTCACTGCTGACACGATAGTTCTTCGCAGCAACAAAGACAAGGGAATCCGCGGAGAAAACAATGCAATCGTGATGTTCGACTTCAAGACACAGTGGGTACACTGCACGCCCGTAAAGTCCAGGGGAACGGATGAGTTTGTGCGAGCTATCAATGAGTTCCGAGGCCCAGATATGGTAGTGCATCTGTACGCAGACGGAGCCGGTGAATTCTCAAAAGCCTGCGACGTCATAGGAACTTGCAGGGCGACTTCTACACCCGGATTACCCCGAACGAATAGCATAGCGGAGCTCAAGGTCAAAGAAGTAATCTACGGTGGCAGAGTATTGCTGAGACAAGCAGGACTAGAACCGAAGTGGTGGCCGTACGCTGTGCAGACGTTCTGCTTCCATAGGAACGTACAACAAGTGGACGGGGTAAGCCCGTACGGGAAAAGACATGGCAACGAGCAAGACAAAGTGAAACTGATTCCTTTCGGGGCACTTGTTAACTACCTCCCCATTGCCGAAAAGCCTAGAAAAGCTGGCAAAGAGGACGCGGCCCTGCTCGAACGGGGGGATCCTGAAAATGACGCTCTTGAGATTCTCGGAGCTGATGAAGATGTTTCGAGCATGGCCTTGCCCTCTGAAACGAAGGAAACTAAAGAACAACGCTCGCAAAGGGAGGAAGAGCTGAGAGAGAGTGCGCTCGACATGGTCATGACGCAGGACTTTGATGTGCAGCATGCAAAGGACATCATCCTGAAGTTCACTTCGATAGAAAAAGGAATAGCGAAGAATTCGCGGAGCATGGCCACCGGTAGAGGGTTCATAGTCCTGGGGCTGTATGCGTACGGAGGAAAGATTGGCGTTACGAATAGTGCCAAAGAATATCCGGGGATAGCCATGGTGTGCTGCGAGCTGATAGCAAAATGCTTCCCAGAAGCTACTTTTACAACGGTGACTGTGTCTGTCGGAACCAGGATGGGGCCTCACAAGGACAAGTTTAACGAGAGCCAGACATACAACTTTGTTGTACCGGTAAGCGAGAGGGCGGGCGAAGCTATGATCTGGACAGAAGAGGAACAGTGTGCGAGTGAGGGTGGCAAGGCCGCCGGGATAGAGAAAGAGGTGCTTCCGGGAAAATGGATATGGGGAAGGACTCGGAAGGTGGATAGTGGGCTAAAGTTCAATCCAAGAGTTTGGCATGCTATTGAAGATGCCTTGGCGCCGGAGGATAGAGTGACAGCGGTGGGATATACCCTGGCAGCGGGTAAAAAGGCATCTGTGGACGACAAGTGGAAGTTGATGAGGCTGGGCTTCAGATTGGATGAGCACTTTGCGACATTAGCGGATGGCTTATGCCAGGCAGCGTGTGCAGACGATGGTGGGGATGGGGAAGAATATGTAGATCACGACGCCGAGGAAGAGCAAGCGTATGCCATGGCATCCAAGGCGAAGTTCGACACTCCGACATCACCCGGATTGTTCCTAGGTTACGCGCTCCAACCAGGGGGTGTTCCGAGCGGAGACTATATAGTGGTTGAGCTGGCGCACCTGTATCACGGATGGACGGTACCGTCGATACACCGCGTGAAGAGGATAGTACTTGACGAGGAGATGCCCAACTACTTCCCGATGCAAGCTGTGGCTGATAGGAAGTCGAGAATCATGACAGCGACTCGAGCTGATGCCCTGGCCAGATTGGAACTGGAGAGAGAGGGGCAGCAAGGAGAGGAGACGGAGGAAATCTTCGCAGAGGAGAGAAGGGTACGAGCCGATGTGATGAGACAAATTAAGTGCGACGATCAGCATCTTCAAAACGGGGATTTCTGGGAACATGATGAGATAGACCATTCGTGGACGCTTCATCACATCTTACCCCGAAAGGAGCTGTGTACCCCAGGCGAGGAGGTCAAAGGTACAGGTGGCCCCGGGGATAGAGAGCTGGGTCCAAGGAGGCGAACGTGGATAGTGTACGCCGATGGTACATCGGAGGTGCTGGATGAGGATAGAATGAAGGGCAAGAAGAAGATCACCAAGAAATGGACGGGGTGCACTACGTTCTGGGAAAAGGGGGAGCCTGAGGGAGAGATAGATGATGAAGCCAAGGAGCGGGCGCGGGGAGAGAAGGCGACGGGTATACGGGGGGTGGGTCTAGACTACGAACAAGACATGCCCAGAATAGAGCGGCCGTACGCGAGATCTCACAAACCCAACTCTATTTCGTCAGCAGAGTGGAATAGGATGAGCCCGGGACAGCGACTACGTTATATCGAGGGAGACAAAGAGAGGATCATCAGAGGAGAGAGGCCCCCTTCGGCCGTTCGAGGGCAAGAGGAAATAGGACCGCGTCCCGCAGAAATTGGAGTTCGAGAATGGATGGAGAAAATCACCGACCATGGCCAGGAATTCTCACCGCCGGAGTACCGATGGGATCCCCCACCGGGAATGCCTGAGGGTGGCCGAGTATGGGCAGTAAGAAACAATCGCGCCACATCCTACCGATTCTATGGCGGAAGGGACAAAAGACGGCTTGAGCTCTGGTGGAGGGTCACTCGGAGCGCTAATACTGGAGAGGTCTTAGAATCCATTGAGTACGACTCTTGTATACAGGCAGAGATGATGCGCAATAGAGGGAGATACCGATTCGGGGGGATACTGAGGAGGTTACGAAAACCATCAACCAATTGTGCAGCACAGCTGGAATAGCGCGAACGCCGTCCGACAACATCGTTGGGGAAATGATGAGGGAGTTGGGCGAACAGCCTAAAGTGCAGATCATGGGGGTCGGATTAGAAGAGATCGGGGGTAACGGAGGTGAGAACGTATCTTGGATATCGGGGGAAGGATGCGTGATAGGAGAGGGTGTGACGGATGTGGTCATTGCTATCGATGCGTCTAGCGACGGCATGAGGACAGAGGTCGATCGGAAGGCATCCGGGTGGAGACGTGAGGAAGGCCTAGATAGTACGCGAGAGGCTCGAGAAAGAGTATTTGGCAATGTAGAAAAGGTTATCACAGACGCCAACAGCAGAGGAATAGTGGCCACGATCATCTGGATAGGCGGTAAAAGTCGAATGGCTGACGAGACCATTGTTCGAATGGCGCTTGCCTGGGACATGTGGATAGTGCGGAGTGATGGATGCATGCTGGGTATGCATGACGGGGTAGACGCGTCGTGTTACATAGGAGTCGTCACACCATGCATGATGAATGCGATCGCGGCGGACATGTTAGCATGCGATCACATGCCAAGGGATCATGACTTGATGTCGCGCATAGTGAGGACATCGGACGCGAAAATAGACGTACGGCGAGAGCAGGAGGGTAAAGCGATACGCGAAATGATCAAGGTGTTAAAGGACGTGATAGACATCTGCGGCGAGGAAGAGGGTGATTCGGTGTCGATGGCATGTGAAGAACACGGGGGAGACTATCTCGGATATAGCAGTGGTATGGTGACACTGGACGTGGACTCCTTGGCACAGCTGGAAAAGGGAACGATTAGAGGCGACGAGACTGGGGGATCACTAGAAAAGCTGTTGAAGATAGCCAAGAGAAGAATGAACGGAGGAAACTCATATTGGGTGATAGACATGGAGGGGGACGACGAGCACGAAGAATATGCTACGGATAGAGAAGATCAGACGCTGATAAGGAACTATGCTGCTGCGGCGGCCGAGGATGGGGCACCATACATCAGTCGTGAGGAGATCAGATGGAAAAGATGCATAGTTATGAACAATCCTGGCCGAGAGGCATTGAGGGAGATCTTCGGACCACGAGCGAAACACACACAAGATCTGCGCGTGATCCTGGTTGACGGCGACGACATAGGCAAGGTTATAATGACGAAGCAGAACAGTCGCCGCATCAGACATAGCACCGGAGGGGCCGCAGTAGCTTACCCTGGAGAAGAGCTTGAGGTGGGAGACCTGAACGGGGACGGATGGATGATAGTGCTGACCGGGGAGAGGGAGAACCACGACGCAGATCGGCGCCATGACCAAGATAGAGAGGAAAACCCCGGATTCGACGACCAGAGCGATGTGTTTGACTCGGAAGGATGGACGTTGTCAGACCTAGAAGAGGAACGGGAACCGGTGGATGAGGCATTCTTCAGGGCCGGACACGCCGAAACCATTAACCTCGAAACTATGGAGAAGGGCGAATGCAACATAGTCATGTGGGAGGCAGAGAGGAACGCACTAGTCCTCGAACTAAAGGACGACATCCATGTTCCACTGATAGGATACACCTGGGTTCGTACTGGGATAGCGTATCCGGAAGATCCTGGCACCAGTGTAAGAGTGTCTGCGCTCGGGCAGCTTGTGGCAGAAACCATGTGCGACGTCATAGGATACGAGGTATCACCTGAGCGAGAGATCCTGGTGGCTATACAGAATAGAAATAGCTTTCCCATCACGTTTGGAGGAGGAGGGGGGCCAATCATGAGAATGGAATTCGCTAAGGGAGTATGTCTACGGCCGAGGACGCGCGGGTGCATGATGCCTGAGAACGTGAAGGAAGTGAGACATCGTAGGGCACATCGGGAGAGCAAGAAAGCAATCTGGGCAAGAGAGGCCCGTGCGAGGGAAAGAGACAGGGATAGTGTGGATCATGGGCTGAGAGCAAGGAGGAGTAGAGATGAGGATAGGCGGCGAATCGGCATCAAGCATGTCTCGAATAGGACATACAAGTGCCGAGAATGTCGACGACTGTTGGAGGGAAAAGCCAAGGTACCTAGCTTGATCCTCACGTCGATGACGCTTTGCTTCGCATGCTTCATGAACAAGCATACTACACCCGTTGATAATTTGATCCGGCAGGGTTATCAGACTGAAGACGAGGAGTATGGAGATGGAATAGTCGCAGTCCCTGCTATACAGGTGGATGCAGATCAAGAGGATAGTTGGGAAGAGGTTGCGGAAAATGAAGTGTGTGATAGCATCGACGAGACAGTGGGAGAGTGTGAGCCACTGATGGCCACAATCATAGAGGACGAAGAGGAGGACATCGAGGAAGTTTTCGGACTTGTCGCTAGACCCGTGACGAAGGCTGAGAGGGCGATCAACCCCAAGGCTCGGGCAGCGCTTGATAAAGAATGGAAAAAGCTGATGGATCAAGTGGTCTGGATAATGGAGGAGGTGCGTTCGTGGAAGGACGTTCAACGGGAGGCAATGGATAGAGGGGAAATAGCTCATGTAGGTCGTATCTTTGACATCTGTGTGGAAAAGAACTGGGAGCTTGCTGAAGACGATCCTCTTAGAAAGTATAAGGGGAGAGTTGTGTTTGAGGGATGTCATGTCAAAGACCAGGAGGGAAAGTGGGCCATCTTTCAGGAAATCACATCATGTCCCGCGACACTTGAGGCAGGCAAGATGGCGGATGCCTATGGGATGCTGCCAGGACATGACATCGAGATGTCGGACGGTGAGTCGGCATACACGCAGGCGCTGTTGGGGGGGCCTAAAACATGGATACGGATCCCGAGGGATAGGTGGCCAGATGAATGGGAGGGCATAGACGACCCCGTGGTGCCACTGAGACTAGCTTTATACGGGCATCCGGATGCCGGGGGGTTCTGGGAAAGGCACTGCGAAAAGGCCGTGACTGAGGTCGGCTTCGAATTCCTCTCAGATTGGCCTAGTGTGTTCTTCCATAAGGAGCTGAAGCTGATGCTGGTGATCTACGTCGACGACTTCAAGCTTGCGGGGCCCAAAGAGAACTTAGCGATAGGATGGGAGAAGCTGGCGAAGAGAATCAAGCTCGAAGAGCCACGAAGTATGGGTAGGTACTTGGGATGCTTGCACACGGCTAGCGCGATACCTTTTCGGTCGCCGTTTGAGCCGAGACACGAGTGGACGAAGATCATCGAGCCCAAGAAGGAACCGCCTAATTTCGCGGGGAAGGCCGAGGCGAAGGAAGATAGTCCAGATGAGATCAGGATCCTTCGATATGATGTTACCGATTTCATGAAGCAGTGTGTGGATAGATATCAAGAGTTGTGCTCGACGGCATATCCTAAGCCACTGGATAAAGCTAAGACCCCATATCTCGACGAGAGCCGCCCAGAGTTCGACGAGAACCCAGTAGACGACAAGGTGAACGAAATTATGGGGATAGCCAAGTACGAGCTGCCGGATGAGGGGCCGGGAGTGTTGAAAGAGCACGCCCCTGCGGTACTCATGAAGATCTTGTATGGGGCCAGAGTCGGAAGGTATGACCTACTGCGACCAGTACAGGTTCTGGCGTCGAGGCTGACGACCTGGACACATCTCTGTGACAAGAGAACGCATAGACTGATCTCATACATCAACGAGACGACCACAACGAGCCTCTACGGATGGGTCGGGGATAGGATAGGAGACATCCGTCTTGTACGGAGTTATGGCGAATGCAGCAAATGGACAGATGAAGGAGTATCTGGATACACTGTCATGGCAGATAGGGGGACCGACGTCAGTTCTACACCTGTTGCACTGGTCCCTGGCCGAAGAAGTGATCACATTTCCGGAGGTCCAGGCAGACGGGGGGATTAAGGATGTGAAAGAACATTTCACGGATTCGCGATGTATGTGGGTACCCACGAAGGCCGAGTACGCCGGAGCAGAGAAGCTGAATCAGGAGATGTCGGTCGGGAATGAGGAGTTCAATGTGCCCGGGTGGATTTTCCACGGAACGTCTCTAGAGGCGTTGTGGTCGATGATAGCATCTGGTGGGATAGATCGAAGCCATCCGCTGGTCACGTGGACGACCGGCGCTCCCAGTGTGAACGACTCTGCGGGATGCTGGTTTGGACGAAGCATCTGTGGTACAGCATCATACTCTACATGGCATTCGTTAGGGAATGGATGGATAGTAAGAGTACTGGCCGGCTTCAGAAGGATAGGCAAGAATGTCAAAATGGATGTGGGGACAAGGAGATCGTCGGTGCCTGACGGGCAGATCCGAATGGATGTGGATAGAGTGGAGATAGACGGGGTACTGTTCTGCTTTATGAGGGCCACGAAGATCATCGGGCATGCACTCATCTGTAGGCCGAAGCACCCGGGTTTAGGAGCGAATAGCCATCTCATGAGTGAGATGTCGGCGCTGATGGAGAAGCACCCGCAAGGGGTTGAGAGGCTGTATTGGCGATATCACCTGGAAAAGCGCGCAATTATAGGCCCGGCCCGAGGACCTCTTCCTGAGCGCCCTGTGGATTGGAAGATGGAACACGAGTTCCTGCATCGGGAAGGTGACGAAAATGTCACGAAGGTCGTCGAACAGCCAACTGGCTCAAGAAGTGGTTTGATAGAGCTCATGAGGGGATGGATAGCGGAGTTGCCTAGCGGTGGGGGCGTGTCTGGGCCTGATCGAGACAAGGACTACTACCCGGTGGATAGTGAATGGGCCAATGTGATACGTTTGTTGGAGTATATGGGGATAGAGGCCCCAATGGCCACGGGACACGATAGCGCTGTCGTGAAGATGCCGTGGAGGAGTTTTGTGGGGCCGGCCATTGACAGACGGTGTGTGGAGAGCAGCGGGATAGAGGAGAAAGTCATGGAGAACGCGAATAAGGCCACGCACCACATGGGCAAGGTTTTGGAAATGGCGGACGTGGGAAGCATAGTGTTGGGGATAGAAAAGGCACCCAGGAAATATGGGTGGAACAGACCGGAGGACGTCGACCAGAGCTGGGCGTTCGAGGCTCAGGCCTGGGCGGCTATCATTGGAATAGGAATGGGCGGAGTTGGAGGGAGATTGATGGAGCCAGCGCTTTCGAGCGAGCTTGAGTCCGCGGTGGAGACCTACGAGTGGATGTTTGACATAGCTACTGCATTCCATGAGCGCAAGGCGGCTGAGCTGGTGACATGGTGGGCGGAGGGAATGAAGCCGCCACTTCAGCTCCGATGTAGTGCGGATCAGAAGACCTACGTACACATCATCATACCTGAGGGAATAGAGGGCGTCTCGAATAAGAAGAATCCGGCGTCACCAGGGGAAGTCCGAGAGTGGATAGCAATGCTATTGAAGGCGCACGGAGACTATGGAAAGGCCGCGGAGAGTATGTCGTTCATTACACACAAATTGACAGGAACGCAGGAGATGACCTACCAGGGTGCGTACAAGAAGGTTCAGGAAGTGTGCAAGGAATGCGTCTCGAAGGGCATGGGAGGGAATCAAGTGACGAACATTGTTGTGGTATTGGCCCCGGCTGGAATGGCAGCAGGGAATGCTCGCCGAGCAATAGACGAGGTTAGACGGTTCGAGGCTACGGACGATGACACTAAGACCAAGGTGGCGAGGGAGACGAGGGAGACGATCAGGAAAGCCAATGCCAATGTGCTCTGGGTAGGGCCCGGAAATTTCGAAGAGAATGGATTCCCCACTAACTACAGAGTCAGGGAGGAGGCTAAGGAGCTGATAAGGGCTGGAGAAGCCATGGATAAACTGATGAAGAAGTCTGGAATCATCACTCTGCCTTGGAACGTTATGCGTACGGCGTTTCCTCGAATAGGGGTGGACGCGGGAAAGTTGTACATCAGTGCCGGGCGAACGTTCGGCTTCTGGGCGCAGATCCTGTTCATCTCGATGTTTGGAATGATGTGGCCGACCCCGCGAGACATGGAGTTATGTGATAGGGAAACTTCAGCTATTAGGGAGGTGATCAGCGAGGAGGGCAGGGATAGCATTGGAGAGGTTGGAGTCTGGCTCAGACGCTGGATAGAAGTGGCGAAGGCAGACCGGTCACTGAAGACGAAAGTGATTGTGCCGGTGTGGAAGACAATGTGTGGTAAGTCCGAAGCTCACTGTGTGTCAGCCGGAGATAGGGGTTCTTGGCACCGGATGAAAGTGATCATGTACACGGCGGCCGGCTTCCACATGAAGGACCCCGAGTATCAAGCTCTAAGAGCTATGGCGGCTATCGGGCAGCTGAAGGCGATGGCAGATGACGCAGAGATGATGGAAGACGATGCAGAGTCGGATGGAGAAGAGGATGATGCTATGGGTGAGGATAGACCGGAGAACCAATCTGCTCGAGAGGGAGACGCATCGATAACTGAGGAGTGCAAGGAAGGCAGTGACGAGGGTTTCGCCAGCGTGTCGGTCAGAACGAAAGAAGGCGAAGAAAGAAAACCGGGAGGCGAAGAAGAGGAAGGAGCTGCTCGAGAGTGCTCAGGAGCTCGCGAACCAACGACAAGAGAAGCAAGCAAGAGACGAGAAGAGAAAAAGTGCCGGGGAAAAGGCGGGAGATGGCAGAGATGGCGGAGCACTTAGGGGAACCGCTGGGATAGGTGATCAAGGGGATAGACCGCCGGCTCCACCGGTGCCAACACGAGGCGATACCAAGGGGGCGGTTATGCAGGCTCCCAGATGGAAGGGTGGTGCTGGGACGGGTAGCAACATCAAGACCCTGAGCGACCTCAAGTCCGAGCAGGAATATTCGGATAGAGAGACGCAGCAGGAAACGAGAAGCGGAGACAGTGGCGAAGGACCGATGGTGATAGGATCTGGAGGCACGGTGGGAGTAGTTGCCGACGGGACAGAACTGGATCGAGTGGAATGCGTGGGTACTGGAGAGAGCGGGGGGATATTGAGATTGAGGATGGAAGAAGAGGGATCGCCTGTGATAGAGGCCCCATGGTCGAGGAATACGAGGGCAGGACAGGTGCTGGGGGAGGGGCATTTGATAGAAATGCAGCACTGGATTCGCTGTTATGGAGCCCCACCGATGGCATGGACAACGATAGTGGTACAGGTGATACGCAGGATGATTAGAGCGACGTGCCCGAGGGAGGTTACCGATGAGATCACACCCAAAGAAGTGTACGACATTGTGAAGGCGGGAATATATGACTCACAGGTGCTGTCGGGGACGAGGCCTGGCGCCGAACCGTCATACACCGGGATAGCTTTGGGAACTTTGATGAGAAGCAGGATATTGAACGTTGAGAGCAACATCGGAGGCATGAGGAAGTGGGTAGAGCAATTCTATCGTGTGTGGATGGGCATGAATGGAATATTGGGGACCGTGCCAGAGTTGAGAGCTGACGGAGGCAGACTAGGCCGGCCTGGACACAAGCCTACATCGATTTCACCGCCGCCGAGTGAGCCTAGGCCTACATCCAACGACGCGGATGAGATAGAGGTGGAGATGCGGTGGATTATATACAACGTAATGATAGAACCAGAGACGCTTTCCCTAGGTTATGAAGAGCTCGAGATGCTATGGGAGACGAAGTTGTTCGAGGTAGTCCAGAGGGCCGGGGAGCATTTGATAGATCGCGTGATGACGAGGATAGAAGCCGGTACCGGGGGGTACCCGGACAGCATGGACGTTGCGGACATGGTGGAGGAGGTGACAAAGCAAGGATTTGGATCCGAGACGGGGGGCACTACTCCCCTGAATAAAATCGAGTTTTCGAATTATGTGGTGAGAATATGGCTGGCCAAATTCGTCAGGACGATGATTCTTGAAGACATGAAGTTCCCGAGGGAATGGGCCAACACCATGGCATGGTGGATAGCGCAGAACATGATGCTGGTTAAGCCTGAGACTGATATTGTGGAGATGATAGGGAACGACAGCACGCTGTTCGAGGAGATCATCAGTTCGATGAGAAGGATAGAGAGCATGGGCCAAGGCTATCCGGCAGACTATTATCGGTGGATAGAAGAAATCAAGGAGGATGCGCTCAAGGAGGCGCTCAAGGGCAGGAGGAGCGCAACAGGGATAAGACCTGAACCGCTCGACTCGGTGGCCGAGGCTGAAGAGCACGGGGTGAACGCGAGGGAAGCAAAGGACGCCACAATGCAGATAGATGCGGGAGGAGAGATGAACAAGCCCGAGAGTCCGGAGATGGATAGCAAGATGGAGGGCGTGGAAGCTCATGAGGCGATGGAGCCCGATAGTGAGAACGAGAGAGGTCAAGGGTTCTCGGAGTTGTTTGGACACGGAGTTGATACGATAGCTGACAGGGAAGAGGATAGTCATGTAGCACGACAGAACCCGGAGATTTATAGGCGAGTCGTGGAGGATGTATGGAACCAGAAGCACAACTTCCCATTCCCGTGGTTGGACGAAGCGAGGGCGGAGAGGGACGAGCTCGTGAAGAAGATGACGGACGCGGTGCATGAGCGGGTCACCCGGGAGAACCCGGTAGAGGAGAGCAACACGAGAGGGTCGGGAATACATAGCTTCAGCGAGCCGGTCGAGTGGCTTAGAAGGATATGCTGGGGATACCATTGTCATGCGTGCTTTGCTTGGTGGTTGGGATATACGGGGGTAGATAGCAA